CCTGGCACAAATCGAGGCCATCTCCTCACATCCTGTCACTTGTTACCTGGGAGAAAACACCAACCCTCGCCTGGCTACAACCTCCTTTCAGGGAGCTGTAGAGTGTGGTAAGATCCTCTCCCAGGCCTCATTTTCTCCAGTTTCTTCATCAGACTTGTGCTTCAGACCCTTCCAAAGTTCTGTTTCCCTTCTCTGGACTCACTCCTTGTCATGAGGGGCCCAAAAGTGAACACAGGACTCGAGGTGAGGTGTCACCAGTGCCCAGCACGGGGGGATGGTCACTGCCCTGGTCCTGCTGGTCATACTATTGCTGGCACAGTCCAGGTGCCACTGGCCTTCTTGACTGCCTAAGCACACACTGGCTCTTCTTCATCCTTCATGTAGAGACAGAGAAGGAAAAGTGTTAGGGATTTCTAGAAAAGAAAAAAAAAAAGCAGCACATATTTCCCACCAGACTCCCTCACTGCTTTTATGCTTTCCCTAGGCTGGATTCGTCACATTTATTCAAGGTGGTAAAATCTGCATGATTTGGGGCAGCTTTGTTATGGTATGAACGCAGTAGAAGCCCCAGTAAGGGGAACTGTTTATTCTAGCTCAGTGCACTCCCAGCCGCCCTGGTTATAGTTCCTTTCTGGCCAGGACAGCTTTTGGAGCCTGTGGAGGACGGGAGGTTGCAGCAGCTTTCTGTCTCCACAGTCTGCTCTCCTGGTGGTCTGGCCACCTGGAGAGCTCTCCATCGGGGTGTTTGAACCATGCCTGGGCCGTGCCTGGCCCACAACCTTTCTTAGGCGTTTAACCCCCCAAAAAATACAGCAAAAAGTGCTTTATCTATTTCTACAGCTGCCCAAGATTTTGAGGTTCTTACAAATGTCAGTCCCTGCTCCATGAGGAGCTGTCAGACCTTATCTTGTGCCAAGTATGAGCGTGTGTTTACACATAGTACCATGATACTTCATGTAGGCACTTAGTGGCTTGGACATTTACCCTTTTGATGAGCCTGGAAACATCATTACAGGAACTTAAATAGATTAGAAATAGAAGCTAAAAGTAAACAATAAAAGCGCTGCAGCAGTCTTTTCTTTCTCCATGCTACTATTTTAATCCTCCTGTGAAAATCTGGGTAAGTTGATCCCCCCCCTTGTAAAAATGTTTCCTTAAAACAGACAAACCTTTGAAATTGGATCTTCTAAGAAGGCTTTGTTATTGCATGACATGTCTAATGGGTAGATTGTTCTATTACCAGGACAGTCTTCCATAACATTTTACTGCTTTGATGCCCTGCTAATGTTGTATTTTGATACATTTCCTCTTCAGTATTTACCTGTGGAGGAACAGCTCTTTCTTTTTATTTTCAACAGAATTTTTATGTGTTTCATACGAAGACTTATTAATACTTCTAGTGAATGGAAGGTTCTTTAAAAGACTCTCATGAACCATTAAAATCAAAGCACATGTGAAGTGAAATTCATAACTTATATTAAAGCATCAAGTTCAGTTTCACTTCCCAGAAGCAAGGGCACCAAATTTTGGGTGGTGGATTTTTTTTTTTTTTTAGTGTTTTCTTTTAGTTCTTAACCTACTTTGTATTCTGCAACTTTGCAAAAATCTGAGCCCTCTGACTCTTAGTTTAGTGTTTATTCTGCTATAGAGAGGTACCATGCAAAAGTGAAGAAAAAAACGAAAGAGTTAAAGTAATAAACTACTTGTGCAGTTCTAGTTATTACCTCTGGTAACACAAAGAGGTAAAAAAGGTTGGTGCTTGGGATCTTAAAACATGTTATCCTAGAAGCATGTTTGAATTGAGAAACATATCAAATGCTATACAAATACAATTAATGAATATAGAAGCTTTACTTTTATTTTAGTATCTAAAAGTCACAGATCCATTGCAAAGAAAAAGGAAGTGGCTGTGGGTGGGTGTGGTGGTTTTTACTTTCTGCTTAAACCACCATGCCAGTATCTAGTTTGCTGTGTGTGGGAAAGAAGTTGGCAGAAGTTACGTGGGAAAACAGTGAAGGCAAACTGAGATAGAAATAACTTTGGAAGGTAGAAAGGGTGGAAGTGAGGAAGGAAGTAAATAGGTGCATTTGAAACTTGATTTTCTTTGTAATCAAGTTGTGCAGTTGACCTTAACTCTTCTTCATGTGTCAGCATCAACTCTGGTGTATCACAGAATCACAGAATGGTTTGGGTTGGAAGGGACCTTAAAGCTCATCCACTTCCACCCCCCTGCCAAGGCCAGGGACACCTTCCACTATCCCAGGTTGCTCCAAGCCCTGTCCAACCTGGCCTTGGGCACTTCCAGGGATGGGGCAGCCACAGCTTCTCTGGACAACCTGTGCCAGGGCCTCACCACCCTCACAGGGAATAATGCCTTCACAGGGAATAATGCCTTCCTAATACCTGTTGTAAATATGCCCTCTCAGTTTGAAGCCATTCCCCCTTGTCCTAAGGGATGTCCTTTTGTATCAGAATGGATCAAAACTATTAGATGTCTGTCTGCTTTTAGAACAATGTGCTGCACCATGTTTTCATCTCTTCTGCCTCTCCTGCCATTTGGGGAACTGTTAATTCCTTGAGATTTCTGAATGCAGGCAGGGAGGACAGCTCAATGTAGGGGCAGCATCCTGCCTCAAAACAAAACCAGAGTTTTGTTCTTGCACTTTGTTGTCTTTGGAAAAGAAACCCTAAGCCCTTTAATTTGTACGTGTGGAATGCTGAGTAAAACTGAACAAAAGAAACGTATGTTCAAGGTGATGATGTTGGCAACCAGGTGTTTACTACTCTCTTGCATGGTTGTTTTATTTTGCATTTGAAACTTAAAAAGACAGAATAATTATTTTTAAAAATTAAAAGACCAGTAATTAAGAATGAACAGTATATTATGGTTGTGATAACTGTTCTATTTGGTTTTATATACCCCGTGTGATTAAAAAAAAATAAAAATTATCCTTTTCATTTACATATATACCTTATGGTAAAAAAAAAGAAATATTTAAGCTTTATCCTATTTGTGCACTTGTTTTGAATCTGTGATGGTTTTAATATTATTTAATATTTCAATATACTATAGTAATAAATATTTATATTTTTATATGTATTTCTTATGTACTATCTAGGTATTTGCGGTTTATAACATATTTAATAACCTCTGGATGGATTTCTGTGCTGTGCTTATAAGTTCTAGGAAGTGTCTGACATTCTCATCCATGTACGTGTGCACTGCCACATAACAGAGAAGAAATTATTTGAGTTGTGACTGATTTTGAGATGTTGTATAAGATGTTATACAACACAACCATCTCTTTAAGATGCTGATAGTCTCAACAAGGGAGACAAATGATAGGGAACAAATCCAGAGTGTAATTTCCTCATGCTATGACTAGTGTAGTACAGTGGGTTATGCTCAGATGTTGCCAGAGTTGTTCTTGTTGTGCTCTTGCATGTATCAGGCTGAAATTTGTTACCCTTAAATTAATTTCAAATGCTGTTTGCAGAATATTGGATATAATTTCATTATTAGATAAAGAAGAAGAACTATACTGTAGAACTCTTGAGCTGTTTATAGATAAATTACTGTTTTGTTTTATTTTATTTCAAGGTAGAAGAATGCTTTCATAAGGAAATAATTGATACATTCAGTCACCTATGAAAATTTGAATCTTGCTTACAAAGAAATTTTCACTATTTTTATAAGAATCTGTAGTGTTATTTTTGGCCTGTGCTCTTTAATTTACAATGAATATATTTCACTGTGCAAGTTTCTGTATTTTAAAAACTCAAGTTTAGGAGGAGAGAGAACATTGTATATTTAGAAATGCCCTGAAGAAATACTAAAAAGCACCGGAGTTGTCTTTCACCATCATGATGTAAGAGTGGAATAGCATTTTTTTATTATGATATCCGTGCAATGATATTTTATTATGATATCCATGCAGTGAGCCAGTGTTGGGGGATTGTATGGGAAATGCTCAGGCTCTGCCATGGATCAGAGGTGCTACAAATTGAAGGTCAAGCCTTCAGAATTTCTGCAGCCCCTGTGATGACCACTGCCCATCCCAGGTCTAAGGAGCAGTCCCAGCCTTAGCTGGGTGACCAGCAGTCAAGGCAGGTGTAAAGAACAACTTCTGGCATTTCCTAGAGAAGGAATACCAGAAAAAGAAGTAGAAGAAAAGTAGAAAGAGGAAGAAATACCTTACAAAAAACTCATTGACACAATTCTTTATTTTATGACAGCTGTTGGAGTGGCTTTGCCTTTTGTTTGCAGCATTGTAGGAACACTTTCATCTCTTTATGACCTCCTGTCATATCATGTTGCAGTGTAGACTTTAAGAGCCTCTCATATCTTATGTATAAAAATGTTTACCTTTAATTTTTTCCTTCTGTATCTTAGCACTAGCCTTTAGATTTGGGATAAAATATCTGTTGGCATTTTACCTTTTCAAATAGTTATTTGGTAATTTTGAAAGCGACGGGGGCTGCAAATACAGAATTATTTTAAGTGGTGCATATGCTACAGCTTTACCAACTCTTTTCTCATGGAATCATAGAATTGTAGAATGATTTGGGTTGGAAAGGACATTAAGGATCATTTAAAGAGTTGTAGCAAGAGAGGTTGCCATTGAAGACCAAGGCAAAAACGTTGTTGAGTACCTTAGTCTTCTTGTCATTCATTGTTACCAGTTTACCAACATTGTTTATCAAGGGCATGAGGGGTGTACACAAATGTTCCTGCAAACTGGATTTTCCTCAGTTTCCTCAGTCTTTCAGTTTTTCTCACCACATGCTTTAATGTACACCCTTGCAGCTTTTTTGTTCCTTTAATCATATTATTTTGGTTTATAATAATTGCACCACTCTGAGAGATCCATTTCTTAATACAGGTGTATTAAACTTGTTGTTATTATTCATATTTTCTTCTTTTTGTCTTTCTGAAGACCAGTTGCTTTGTTTCTTTTTAATTTATTTCCATAACCTTGCAGTAAACCTCTTTCTTTCAGGTTTTCCCTGGGAGATGCTCGAAGGCCACTCCATGAAACTGCAGTACTGGTGGAAGACATTGTCCACACTCAACTGATAAATTTGGTAAGAACATAACCAGTAAAATAGTCTTCACTCCTTCAATCCACATGACATTTTCGTGATCAAATGGCTAATAACATATTGTTCTGGTTTTAGAAACAAATAAAACACAGCAACTGAGGGTGATGCTCTGGCCTCAAGAATCTGTAGAACCTCCTATTTGTCTTCCTTGTGGTTGTCCTGTGCATGTGGGATATCTGCAACCCCACCTAACCCTGGGAATAAAGCTCATGGGTTTGTTTGTTAAAAACTTAAAATTGCTAAAAAGAAAAAAAACTGGCAATTCATCTGAAGACTTCCTTGCTAAGTTTTTTTTTATATTCTAGTATTTGTGTTAATGCATCATTTACTTAGAATTTGTGCTCTAATATTCCTATTATGTGGTGTTTTGATTTCTGTCAAAAAATAATGCAGAAATATGAAACACATGAATATATTGAAAACCAATGAAAGTGTTATGCTAATGAGGCTGTTTTGAATCTTGTCTGTCAAAAGCAACTCTAAATTTGAACCTCTCTATAGTTTTTAATTAAAGTTCAACGATGCCTCTTAAGAAATCAATGGTATTTTATGCCATGGCACGAATTTGCCACCTGACATTTTTTATGGAAAGATATACAACCTATAGGTTGGGAAGCATAACAATTGTGTTTTTCTTATTATAGTCTTTAAAAGACGTGTGGATGTGGCACTCGGGGACGTGGTTTAGTGGTGACCTTGGCAGTGCTGAGTTAATGGTTGGACTCAATGATCTCAGAGGACTTTTCCAACCGTAATGATTCTCTGATTCAAATGAAATTACCACCATGTGTGGGAAGGGACATTATATGGGACTAACATATATAGATAACACTACTACATATTATGACTAATATTTACATCTGATGAGTCCCTGGATCAGCTAGAGCTTTGAGCTGCAAGTTCCTAGATATCTTCTCTTTTAGCAGTCAGAAGGGTTTTTAAGTTTCAAGCTAGGTCCTGGTACTACATTAACTAGAACTAAAAATTTCTGTAAAATGGTAAAATTCAGAATGGGGCACAGCACATATTATAAATATGCATGTGTATGTATAATATATATTTTATATGTGATTCATATATATTGTAGATATATTTATAAATATATATTACTATCTATTTACATGTATTTTTATTATATATATTTTTAATAGAAATACACTATAAATTAATTTCCCTTTGCCCACTGTTTGCCTGCAGACAGGTGTTTTCCTTCAGCTTTGCACATAATCCAGCAACCATTCAGTAGTTTCCTGCATCTCAGCAAATGCCTTGGCATCCCCTTCCAGCTCTGGGCAGTTTCCTTCTGCTCATACCTCTGCAGCCCAACAGTGTATCCCTGTCTCTGCAGTCTCCTGGCACCTTTGTGCCGTGGATTCTTTCCTTATTACGCTCCTCTCGGTCTGTCCTGAACGTGCCCTGTGGCTCCTTGGAGGGGACGACGTCTCTCCCCTCTCCGCAGGTTTCCCGCTGGTTAAACACGCTGCTCCGGGCATATATTTGTAATTCTTGTTGCAGCTTTAACTCCGACAAAGTAACATTTTCTCTCCGTTAATGACCCGTGTAATTTATGCAAACCGGTGGCCGCGGCTTTGCTCTTCCCTCTTCCCTCGGCAGTGACGCGGCGCAGCCTGCGCTGCTCGGTCCCGCTGAGCTGAGCTCTGCACCAAACCCTGCCTTTGAGAAAGTGCAACCTGTGGCCATGTGGGCTTTGCACTTTAATCAAAGCCGGGCACTTACTCGGGGGCCGGCGTGACCCGGGGCTAACCCTGCGTGGGGTGTGGGAGCGTGTAGGATTTCCTGACAGAAGGAAGAATGGGAACGGAGCGGCAGATAAACAGCTTTTCTAACCTTTCCCCTCCCAGCCCGAGACAGCACTTTATTTGTGAGGAAGTGAAAGTATCTTTAATAGCTCATTGCTTTGACCTCTGACATTCACATGCCGGAACTCTTAAATCAGGAGCGTTTTACATGCTCCGGGCTTCTGATAGGGGGTTTTGCACATTTGTCATCCTTAGCTGTGTGTCCTTATTGAGCTATTCTATGTAGTCATATGAAATTTTCACTTTAGTTGTAGATATTTGTGTGGGTATTTACCCAGTAGTAGAAAAATGGTATTTTCATAATTGAAGCTGACTGCAGATGTGAATTTATTGCTCACCACCCAGATTTTGTCATATTACTCATGTTAATGGACTAGGCAGTTCTCACTATGTAATGTAGTAATTTGTTCTCAAAATTCATGTCCATTTTTTCCATAACTAACACATGTATAAGGCTAAACTGTAGAAATGACTTTTATGCCTGCAATAAAGCTGGCACGTTGCACACATCCTTCATAGTAAACATTTGTAAGAAGACCTTGTAGTTGTTGATTAAGTCCAGGTTTGAGCTTCTGAATTAAAAAAATAAGTTGCCAGCATGATTACCTTTGATTGGTTGACTTTTGATATCTCGCAGGTTTATAGTTCCAGCTTCCTATTTTCAGAGTTGATCTGAACTCCATTAAATCAGGGTCTGGTATGGACAGATTTATACAGTCACTGCTTCAAACCACTATACACTTCATGAAGTCCGGCTGCTGGAGCAGATGGGGCACTAACAAGGCAAATTCCTGGAAAGCAGACTTGTAAGAGTCTGCATCACGTTTTATGATCAATTTTTGGGTGTATTTTGAACAATATGTACACTGCTTTACAGTAAGGGGAATTCTACTAAAAGCCTATAGCAATGTGTAGAAGGAAATGAGCATCTCCAGAGGAAGATTCATGTCATCCTGAAATTACTTTCTGAGTTGAATGAGCTTGTATCTCTCAAGGAATTTATTTTCTCAGCTGACTAATAAAGGGATCCTTTGACAGCTGGCTGGGGTTTGAATATCTAGGAGATAAACCTAAAGGTTAAGAGATAAATTCTATCCAATTTGTGTCAGGATGCTAGCATGAGTTTGAATGTTTTATGCTTATATTGTAATTATAATTCTTTTGTTATTTGCATATCAAGCAGTAGAAAACCATAAAAACCCTATGCTAGAAGGAGAAAGTTCTGTGCATTTTTTGGTCAAGCATAATGTATTTGAAGAGCGCAATGAATTCAAGTTTAGTATGAAATCAAATTCACCGTTGACTGATCTAAATATTCATCTATAGGTAATTGTTTAAGGGATTTATAGATGCCTTCATGTTACTCTAAAACTGTATTTATTTATGTATGGTAAGACTAGAAGTTCCAGTCAAGGCTATATTGTTCTATATGGTCAAGCACAAGTAGCAGTACACAAGTAGTACAAGGAAAATTGTGCCTGCAAAAAAGGTTCAACAGGGAATGCAAAATCACAAAAGGGACAAGCTTTTAAATAACTGACTTTTGGTGTGGAACAAGGCCTCTTTTAGTTCCTTCTTTTGTGATATTCAATACAATCTGCATGTGCAGTAAGAAGGTTATGAAGCATCTTCTTTTATAATAATTAATATCCATTCAGACCCTTCAAAGGGAAACTCAGAGATCCTACTTTAGGACAAATCAATATTATTCAGCACTTTCTCAAAAAAGAAGAGTCTGTAACTAAGAGGAATGGAATAGGAATTTTTGTTCATTATTAAACTGTCACTGAGAGGTTTGTCATCAAAATAGCTTAAGTCTTGAACATATCCAGATGTAAAATTTTTTGGAAATTGTTTTGTATAGTATTTAAGAAAGAGGAAAAGTCCCTCCTCGCCTTCACCAGCTCTCTCCAGAATTTTTATCATGCTGGGGTGGACCATAAGAAAATGTAGTCTTATTAGACTAATATTAAAACCTATTATTGTCTTCTCTTGGTAGGGCCAAAGCTCCCTGTTCATGCTTCAGATGTCATGATCACAGGTGAATAGACAATAAGATCACGATGTGCTACTTAAATCAAAGAGACTGCTAATGAATTACCTTCCTGGTGCTGGGAATGTGTCAGCTGGGTGTTTGTTCCCAGAATGCAGTACCAGCAGTTTATTCTCAGGGCATGCTGAGTGTGGCAGGAGAAGTGCAGACACCTGCTTTCACAGAATTTGGTTATAGATTTGAACTTCAGTCCTTTACATTTTTTTTTCGGCGATATCGAATGGCTTCTGGGAAGAGATTAGATTTGTTTTTACAAAGTGAAAGATATTTCAGCGGTAGAACAGGGTTCAGCAAGGGAATATGAAAATTACACATGTGCACACCAAAAATACAGGTAAGTAACTTCGCCTGTCCATGAAGGAGTGGCTGCTTAGAGGGGAGGCCACAGCACATTGCAGCAGCCTTGGACTGCATCCTTTAAATGTTTTATCTGCTGTAATTCTTTGTAATGTGTGATAAGTCATCGTGGAGGCTGTCATGAATGATAGAATTCATGTTAATAGAATTGTGGTTTGCTCCCTGTCAGCTGATTTGTGTCTGCTGGAAAATGGACTCTGATCTCTTCGACTGATGTCAAATGATTTAAGCCAAACCCACTCGGTTGGCTTTTTTTAGAATGCAGTAGCATCAACTCAAAGGAACTTCAGTTGCCCAAAATCATGTTGAACGTGGTGTCTGTTGGGATTTTTTTTCATCATTTACTTTTATCTTCCTATGGAAGAATTTAATTTCATACAACTTGTGCTGCTACTTAATACTATAAATATATCACTCTTGCTTCCTTTGTAGGTTTGGGTCCCATGTTACATATATGCATATATGAACACTTTGTGTGTACACATGGATAATTTTAATTTTTTTTCTTGTTTATTGCTTCTGGAAATTATTTGCCTCTTACACAGATAACATATTTAATTCAGAATCAGCCCTTTTGTCTCAACCAAAGCGCAAAGCACAGGTCTGCAGGTGAATAATCTGTACTGGAATGCACAGATTATATTAATTTGCAGCAGTAATTCATAGGTAGAAAACTTAGAGTGAGATGCAAAGATTCAGCAGTATGCCAAATCCTGAGTAAGTCCATAGTAAATCCATCCTGTGGAGTAAAT